AGGTTCCCTCAATTACTTCGTGAAAGGAAACGTTGACAAATGAAGCTCGTCCGATCACTTCATAAAAGAAACGATGACTCCAAAGCTCTTCAAAATAAAAAGTATGGGAAATACTAATAAAGTACTTCTATACACTCCCGTACCCCGACACACAATAGTGTCAAAAAGAAGGACTTTGTACATGATAGTACTTCTGGCACATTATAGTACCCTGGTATGAGTGAGACTCATACCCTAGAACATAATAATACCCTGACACAAGCAACACCTAAGACACAGAGCTTTGAAAAAGACTTGGTACATAGAAAGTACTTTTGTATGTAGAACATACTCCATCAATCTCCTCGAACAGAGTTTTTATTCTCTATTCTGATCACACACGTACCCTTAATAAGATACTACCCAATATCCAACTTAATTGAACTAAGCATCTCTTTTAAGTCTTATTTCATCACTAAGTAAGCCTACAATGCTTATAATCAACTTTCAATACTACCTCTATTACGACAACACTATCTTAATTTAGTGTAATATTTTATACAGAGTATTAAGTATTAACATACATTCATCTTCTCTCTCATTTATAATACTTCTATTATTATTATTATCGTGTAACATGTCTGGTTCGCATAGCGTATATCATCAAATATACATATAACACATATTTCCAGATAATAAGCATATAATTCACATATAACCTTTCAACATATATTTAACACTTTTATTAATACTTGTATTAAAATCATGTTCATGAAAGGGACTATGTACTCACTTGTTAAAGTGATGACGCGGAATTCAGACAGCGCTTCGCTTCTAACAATCGTCTTTTCATTCGACGAAATCTGACATTATTATCGTTAACTTTTAGTCTAATATTTATTGGGACTAATTATTAGTCTAGATTTATCATTAACTTAAAGTCTAATTTCATGATCTAGCAAGTAAGGAACAACCAAGTAAGATAATATCAGAGGTAGGGTCCGTTTGGTATACGAAGTATACTATTTGGAAATTCCACTTTAAACACCTCACTACATCACAACCTAGACATTATCCCCGTAAGTAGATCAATCAGTATAACGACTTGGAATCACTGATAAATCTTATTTATAGGTTCATAATAACGATAATGAACTTAAACATAAGTTATACTTAAAGTATGGTAAAACATAACTCACTTACAAGGGGGTTTAGCGACGAACCGGGCTCGGCGCCGACAGAACTTCTGAGCCGAAAGCTCTTCTTCTCGGAGCCTTATGGTGCTCCGGTACTCGCCTCTAACTCTTAAGGAGGGATAGAGAAAAGCCTTTAGGCTTTGGGATTGTTTGGGAGAGAGTTGGAGTGAATTGGTGTGGAGAAATAAGGAGAAACGCCACCTATTTATATAGGCTGCCAGCTCTTGCATACGCTGGGCATACATAGAGCTACGCGGGGTGTACTCAAGCCACATATCAAAATCGCATGTGAAGTCGTGGGGAAGAAGGTGGGACTGGGATCTCGCCACGTGTCGCTTGCTGGTTAATCCTAAACATTAATTATATTCTAAATTCCGTAACTTTCGCATACGAGCTCCGTTTTTGACGTTCTTTATATCCACACGTAGGTAGTGAGGTGATCTACAACTTTCGTTTAGACTTCGTCGACTAATTTTGACTTTTTTTTTTAAGTTATATTTTAACGGGATATATACAGTAAAGTCCCAATATTTTCATCGATTTAACAAGAAAGTCCTAAACTTTATTTTTTTGACAGTAAAGTCCAAATTACGGACAGTTTTTGACGCTTTTACCCTTTTTTCCCGGTTAGCCGGTAATTAGGACTTTTTTTGTCAAAAAAAATAAAGTTTAGGACTTTCTTGTCAAATCGTCAATTAGGACTTTACTGTAAAAAAAAATAAAGTTTAGGACTTTTTTGTCAAATCGTTAAAAATATTGGGACTTTAGTGTATATATAATTTTTTTTGTTAGAAATTTAATGGTGTGATACTCTTTAAGCATAAAAGTTATTGAAACCTTCTTTAATCAGCTAGATCCTATTGAAATCCTTAACGTTTACTTCTTGTTAAATCGTTTTTTTTTTTAATTTCAACAAACCAACACAACCCTGGTTCTTTCTTTCTTTCTTGATTATCTCCATTTTTTTCAATGTCAGTTTGTTTAGATTAAAAAACGAATAATCAAGAAGCAAATGTTAAGGATTTCAATAGGATCTAGCTGACTAGAGAAGATTTTAATAACTCTTATGCTTAAAGAGTATCATATCATTAAATTTCTAACAAAAAAAAGGATATATACACTAAAATCCTAATATTTTCAACGATTTGACAAGAAAGTCCTAAAACTTTATTTTTTTGACAATAAAGTCCTAATTGACGATTTGACAAAAAAGTCCTAAAGTTTATTTTTTTGACAAAAAAGTCCTAATTACTGGCTAACTGGGAAAAAATGGTAAAAGTGTCAAAAACTGCCGGTAATTTGGACTTTACTGTGAAAAAAATAAATTTTAGGGCTTTCTTGACAAATCGATGAAAATATTGGGACTTTAGTGTATATATCCCTATTTTAACAGGCTTAGACATATAAAGTCCGTTAAAAATTCATAACTTTGTCATCCGATGTCTGTTTTCGTATGTTTTTATATCTTTAAGCTCCTATCAACGAGATATTTGAGTTTAGATTGTGTCGGCGAAAAATCATTCGATCTATAATTCGATTTCCGGGCTGTGTTCTGCTATGCAAAATTTTAGAAAAATCATAACTTCCTCATACGAAGTCAGATTTAGACGTTCTCTATCTGCACGATTTTGGTTTAACGTCTACTACGACATTCGTATAGATCGCTAAGGCTAAAAAGTATTTTATCGCAAACTCACTTTTTATGATACACAACATCGTGCCGATTTGTCGCAAAACTTCGACGGGTCATAGCTTCTTCGTTATAAGTCGGATTTTAGTGTTCTTTATATGTACGTAATCCTTATGATATATACTATAACTTGGTTAAGATTCATCAACATTAGTTTCCTCATGTTCACCTTCAGTATCATCCCCATCAAATTCAGTGTAACTCTAGAAATGTTCAAGCGGCTCTCCGTATGAAATTATATTACCATAATCCACTAACAACATTAGTTTTTGTTCATCATTTGCAGATTCATCAACATCAACTGTTGGAGAAGCATCATCAACAACCTTACCTTTATATCTATAATAATCACCCTCGTCTATAGGGCTATTATAAGAAGGAACATGGTTAGTTGTCATAGGTAATAAATTACAAATTTGGTTACGTCCAACACCGGAAGACCCATTTCCACCAGAAGGATTTCCACGAAAAATTGATGAATGCCACCTTCCACAACATTATTAACAACAAACAATTCTATTGTTTTAGGAGGCATACGACTAACAAAACTAAGAAATTATCTGACATCACTATCGTCAGGAATCTGCATAACTATATTTGATCAAAGATATTGAAAAGATTGACATATTTGATTAGTGTGTAACCTGGACTTGGAAACAACCAACGTAATTTACCCAGTGAAGTTGATATCATTGCTTATATCTACACCAAAACATGTGTAGTTGGAGCAATATATCGCATAAATCCGTCGATACGTTGTCATTGCCCTCCACTAGAAAATGACACTCGGAAGAATTTCGTATACATACTCATTCCGGAACGTATAAGAAAACTACCAAACAAACAAACGGATTGCATATAGGGTAGAAAAACTAGAGTTGACAACGGGTTAACCTGGGTTGAGTTCGGGTTTAACCCATTTAATAATTGGGTTGAAAATTTCAACCCAACCTAACCTGTTTATTTAAATGAGCTAATATTTCCAACCCAGACCAATCTTTTAGATAAATGGGTTGTCACCAGGTTAACATGTTTATTTAGTTCTCGACTTAACCTATTAAATAAATGGGTTAAACCTGGATTAACCCATTTAAAATCAAATAAATAAATTAATTAACTAAATAGTATACCACTTAATTTAGTTTCGTACATTAATAAAACTTTCTAAGTATGACAAAAACATAATATCAATTCATAAATACAAATAAATTGTTCAAATAACATTAAAAATATTTTAATTTCAAAGTAATTTTGGAGAGTGACTAATATTATCGGCGTTAAAAAAAGATGGAAGTTAGGATTGAATTTTTATAAAACATAAATAATAATACAACATTATAATTTATAAATTAATATTTTGATTAATACTTGATAATATTCATATAGTTATTAAATTAAATATATATTAAAGTTAAATGGGTTGACGGGTTGATAATTTTTACCTAACCCAACATATTTAATTAAATGAGTTATACAAGTTGACCTATTTAACTTAAATGGGTTGAAAATCTCAACCCAACCCATTAATTTTGGGTTGGGTTTGGGTTGGATTGACGGGTTGGATCGATTTTTGCCAACTCTAAGAAAAACACACAGATATCCTATTTTTGCCTCTCCGGAATTTCCCTTCGGAATGTATGGGGATGTCGGACTACAATCTGAAATGTACTTTTCAGTGCGGAACGTACGACTGTGTCAGATTCCGGACCCAAACTCTACCAACCACCACCAACTCCGTAATAGAAATAAATACTCCGGAGTATTGTATTCCGAAATTCGTTGAACGGCCAAACTCCGGAATAAGATATTCCGGAACAAGTGATCATTTAAAAAAAAAATTGTTTTTATTAAAGTCGTTTATAAGGTTAAATTACTGAATTTCCCATATTAAAAACTAAGTTATTTTGTTATATCACCGTTTTCATTTTGTCAATCTTTATGATTTGCCTTGTTCAAAAGCAATTAACAAGGGTTAACCTAACCTAACCAAAGCAAACCAAACCATCTTAAAGTTGAATCGGTCGCTATCTAACCGTGAAAACCTAAAACCGGCCAACCCTAAAACAACTTCATAAATATGAAGCAGAAAGAATTTGTACGTTGCTTAACAAAACTTGTACTTCTGTATTAGACCGTGGTGGGTAGCCGCATAGACGGAACCCAAAGTAGAATTAAATCGAGTTTAATCCACAAATCGACGTATAAAACTGTCAATCCCTCTTTCTTGTAATTCTCTTTACCAATTTAATTACAAGAATACGTCGAGATCCGGCGCGGCGGTCGTCGGATTTCGTCTAATTCCATCATGATGAAGGTTTGTTCTTCCACTGTCGTCGCATCTGTCCTCGCTGCCTCCACCGCGGTTCTCTCCTCCTCCCATTCCAATGCAACTGCTCAGGTACACAACACTTTCCCCAAATTTCATGATTTTTGTTAAAGAAACTGAAACCTAAAAGATATGGATGTGATTGGGTTGGAATGGTTTAACAGGAATTGAAAGTGCTAAATAGTGGGGAAAGCAGTGTAGTAGAGAAGGAGAAATTCGCACCTAGATTCGATGGATTAAGGTTCATCGAGACATTGGTGACAGCCCACAGATGAGAGATTAGGCAATTTCAGGTTCCATCATGCCAAAGTCGCAATCTTTTTCTTTTCGTTTTTACAATTTGGAAAGGACCAATTGGTTGTTAGCTTGTGACGTTTTGATTTGGTGTGATGGATTGGGGTTTCAGGTTTCTTATTTCTTATTTCTTTTTGTATTCTATCAGAGTGTAAAATCCCATTTTTTGGGCGCCGATTGTATTACTGTTTGAATTTGAGATTCTTCTCTTTATCGATTCTGAATTTACATAACTTTTTGGCCTAATTTTGGATCAAATAATACTACTTGGTGTTAATTTGGTGAATTCTTGTAACTTCGGTCATGGATGGATGAACGGGAGAACTCCGGTCTAATAATTTTCCAGCAGGAAAGTTCTTGTATAACGTAATCAATAACAACATATGTAAATATCATCAAAACCCAAATCGTCAAATTGCGTGTATCAAAATATAGGTAAAATGTTCATTTCAATCAAACCTTGAGGAATGATCTTGAATCTGTAGTTCGAACAAGACTCTACCTGCCCGAAACGTGGCTACAAATTGTTAGAATTAAAGTTAACAAACAGAAGTTATATAAATTGTTTGTACGGAAGCGAATTTGATAGAGGTTTGCAACTATATGCAGTTGCAGGGTCCTAACACATAAATTGTTTGTATATGGGTATATCTAGAAGATACAATTAGGTTATACAAATTAATGTGTTTGGGTTGAATTTAAAAGATGTCCAGCTTAGCTGGGTTGATGCATCGGGTTTTATACCCATGTGGGGCGTTAGGTGGGAGTTCAATTCCCTTAAATTATCTCTTGTGGTGCCACATTTGGGGAGTTTTTCCTTGGAAATCCCTATGGGAGTTGGGTCTGCCCTGTAAAGGAGCTCGAACCCGTGGTGCTTGTTGAAATGTTGCGAGTAAGCTTCCACTTAATTCGTTTGCCGTTTCAAAAAAAAATGTAATCTATAGGTTGGGCAGTGTTCGGGTTGGTAGATAGGTCTATAGGTTATTTAGAGGTTGATCCGGTTGGTAGGTCTATAGATTGTTTACAGGTTGATTCGTCCTGTTCAATTATATCATGTTAAAAAAACATATTTGTTATTTTTCAATTTAATTATATTAGGTTGAAAAAACATATTTGTTATTTTTCAATATACAATGTACCCCTAAAAGTAAAATCCGTCTACCCATAAGGTTTGAACTCTTAGTCTCGATCTCTCATGTTTTGAATTTGTAATGCTATAAATCCTAATCATTTTCATATGAGTTGTGTTACAAGTACCTCCCCTTCACTCATGGGGGAGCATAAATACTATTATACTCACATCACATGTAGAGGGTACACAACATTAGGGTGTACATATAGAAATTGCCTTCTACATTCCACGACTACGTCATTATCGTCTATTGTTTAATATAAAGTCTTTTACCAATAACTTTTCTTATGAATATAAGATTTATTGATTAAAAATAAAGGTAAATAATTTTATAATGGTATGAAATATGTTTAAAATGAATGAAGGTCATGTATACATGCTTTTATATGTCAATGACTTGTGAAACCGATTATGACCTGCAAACCCCCTTGAACTCGAATATAACTGGTGAATGAGATTATGACCCTCAAACCTACGAACCTGTATAGATCTTGTACATTTTTGGTCCGGATCATTCTGACCCACCAACCTGAACATGACACTATTACCACCCTAACAATTATAAATCAAGTAAACTTGGATATCGCTAATCAAACATGTCTCAGTTTTGGGAGACATAGTAAAACATGGTTTACTTGAATATCACTAATACAACATGTCTCGATTTTGGAAGAAAGAAGAAAACATGGACAAGAAACCATAGTTTTCTTTGAGAAAATTCCAACCCAAAATCTTTCAAATGAACTGATATTTATAGTCTACCATAAACTTGCCAAAACTGAAATTTCCCAACTCTCAAGACAGTTAATTACAAATTACGTAGTTAAATATATATTTAAAAATCAATTCGTAATTTAATTAAATAAAAATATATGTAGTATATCCGGCCATAATTTGATTAGCCGAACAAATTTAGCCCAAACTTTATCTATTTGGTAAACTTCTAAAATAAATGTAATTTTTCTAAAGCTTTTGATAGTTTGAAAATACCAAGTTCCAACATACATCAGAGCCTTTAAGATGTTAGTCACTGATTTGATATCTAAAATTTAGTTGGATATATGCAGTTTTGAATTTTTGTTAAAGTATTGAATTTTTGATTAATCTAAGAATTATAATAAAAGTTTTATATAGACATAACGGATAAACGGACAACAAGTTAGAATCGTTAATTTTTTTCGGAAGACAAAATTAGTTTTTTAAAAAACTATATCCATATATCCTGAGATCATAAAATTATTATGCATGACTCGTTAAACTTTATTGAAGAACTTCATGGTATCTTGTGCAAATAAACCAAAAGTATCAAACACTAAAGTTACAAATACATGTCGATTTTTCATGCATATTTTTTCATGTTTTGTAACATTAGAGGTTTTAAAACAACTTGCACCGGTGTGAAAACCTCAATCTGAAGCCCATGAAAAAAACCCCTTGTTAGGCCGGACGAAGTGGAGCGGGAAGGATGTACGGGAGCCATTCCCGCTCGGAGGAACACTGCACCGACGGTGCGGGATAGGAGGCACGGGGAGGAAGTGGGGGGAGGGGTTCCCGCTCTCTCTCTCTCTCTCTCTCTTGTTAGTGGCTGGAATTTGTTTGTTTGTTTGTTTGTTTTTTTTTTTTTTTTTTTTTTTTTTTTTTTTTTTGAGTTTGCAGGTTTTAACGAGGAAGAAGAAGATGAGAAGTTTCTGAAAATGACATATTTGGCCCTATGTTTTGGTCTTATGGCAGAATACACCCAGCTCTGAATTCTCTTCACAAAAATAGTTTTCGAAAATTACAAAATAGACACTATACTTTTATATTCAAATTATCATTAAAATCAATTAATTTTATTTAAAAAAAATAGTGAGGGAAGCCCTTCCCACCCATTCATTGGGTTTTAGGCAGGGGTGAGCAAAAACCGAACCGCAAACCCAAAAAACCGAAAAAACCGCATAAACCGAAACCGAATTGAAAACCGATGGTGCGGTTTTTAGTTTTGCAAAAACCGAAAATACTCGGTGCGGTGCGGTTTCTAGTCTCGCAAAAACCGCAAAAAACCGAACCGCACCGCATATATATATATATATATATATATATATATATATATATTAACTGTTGACATTTGTGAGAACCAAGAACTTAGACAATTAAAATTTCTATAAATATAAATATCTATCTTATCTATCGGATGATGATTGTATATTTTTAACATTTAAATATGAAGAGTACTAGTGATATAGTATCATTTTTATGAATACATTAATAGATATTATCGTATATATTAAATTCGTATTATATTGAAACATTATAAACATGTTGGATGAGTGGTTATGTAATTTGATTTAAAACCAAGAGATGGTGATATCGGTTTATCTCCAATAAATGATTAGCACTCCTCATCTTAGTCAAAGTAACTCGCCGAGTTACTTGAGTTTTAGTAAAAAGGCAAAACGAAAAAAAAAACAAAAAATAAAAAATAAACTAACAAAAAACCGCAAAAAAAACCAAACCGCAAAAAACCGCAAAAACCGAACCGCATAAAAACCGAACGGTGCGGTTTCTAAATTTCAAAAAACCGAAGTTGCGGTTTTCGGTTCGGTTTTGGCCAAAAACCGCACCGAACCGTACCATGCTCACCCCTAGTTTTAGGTAAGGGAAAAGAAAGTGAAGGAAATGGTGGTATGGCCCACAAAAAGTGAGAGAAGCTTCCCTCCCACTCCCTCCGGTCTTAGATTATAGATACATGTTTCCCTTCTACCGATTTCAACACATTAACATGAATGGGACTTGTATCTAACATTTCAACAAACTCCAAAAAATATCTCCATTAAACACCAAACAAATTTAATTTAAATCATTAAAAGAGCTATTTAATTCATTTAGTGTGACATATGAATTGACCATCACATGTTTTCTTGCTCTTCAATTATTCTCTTCTTTTGATATTATATACATATATTTTTTATTATTGGCACAGAAAATAGTAAAAAGGAGCATATCAAAGTACATGCCATTTGTTTCGGTTAATTTTTGTCCACGAAAGTAACGTCTAAATGCGTCACTACTAGCAGTCGGTGTCACTTGGCTTATCTTCAATTTCACCACCACCACCACTTTCGATCACTGGAAGTCCACTCATCCAGTCATCCATGGAACGTTTCACCACTCACCTCCTCCACTTCATCTTCCTTCTCTTTTCCGGCAACCTACTGGTGTTAGTGTCGTCAATAGGGATCAACTACGGCCAAATTGCCAACAATCTTCCCTCGCCGGAAAAGGTGGTTCCGTTAGTCAAGTCCATTGGCGCCACCAGAGTGAAGCTCTATGATGCAGATCCCGATGTCCTTAAAGCTTTTGCTAACACTGGTGTTGAGTTCATCGTCGGCCTTGGTAATGAGTACTTAACAAAAATGCAAGATCCCACCGCCGCTCAATCATGGGTGAAGACAAACGTTCAAGCTTACCTCCCTGCAACTAAAATCACCTCCATTGCTGTCGGCAATGAAGTTTTGACCTTCAATGATACCTCTCTTTCTGGTTGTTTACTTCCGGCGATGCAGAGTATACACACTGCCCTAATTAACCTGAATATGGACCGGCAGGTTACTGTCACCACCGCACATTCTCTCGCCATACTTGAAACCTCTTATCCGCCGTCAGCCGGAGCTTTCCGGGAAGATTTAAAAGGATGCCTTTCTCCTATTTTGGACTTCCTTTCGAAAACATGTTCCCCGTTTCTGATCAACGCTTATCCTTTCTTTGCATACAAGGCTAATCCGAAACAAATCTCGTTGGATTTCGTTCTGTTTCAGCCCAACGACGGAATTGTTGATTCCGGAAACAATTTGCATTACGACAATATGTTGTTTGCTCAGATTGACGCTGTGTATGCAGCTCTTGGTTCGTTAGGGTACAAGAAGCTTCCAGTTCAGATATCGGAAACCGGGTGGCCTTCAAAGGGAGATGATGATGAAGTCGGAGCGTCGCCGGAAAATGCAAAGAAATACAATGGAAACCTATTGAAGGTGGTGAGTCAGAAGAAAGGAACACCGGCGATGCCTGAATACGATTTAAACATTTTCGTGTTTGCTATGTTTAATGAGAATTTAAAACCCGGACCAACTTCAGAGAGAAACTATGGTTTATTTAAACCAGATGGAACTCCGGCTTATGGTCTCGGATTCTCCGGGATATCCACCGGAGGAGGTAATTCCGGCCACAACAACTCTGGAACAAACACGCCTACGCCGCCGTCGTATATTTTGCCGCCGGAAAACCCAAACAACGGCTACATGTCAATCTCGTCGGCTGTGAGTTTCTTTTTCCCTTTATTCCATTTCCTTTTTACAGAGAATCTTTTTATTCCAAACCTGAAGCATCTTTTTTTTACAGGAAAGACTCATTTGGAGGAGAAGTATCGGAATATTATCGGGGGTGGGTTTGATCTTGATTTTGATTTCGATTTCATTGCCATGAAAAGCCATCAATCAGAGACGACTACAGTCAATAAAGAGAGAAGAAGGGAGGAAAATTGTATTTCTTTATTATTATTATTAGTATCCATTTCTATTCTTTCATTCGATGCTTTAGGTTTTGCATATTCATGTATAATTGTATCCTCTCATCTTTATATATCATCTTTTTGCAACTTAATGGGTTAAGCGATAATCAAAGTTTATTCAGATAGAAATCATTACCCATTTAGCCTCTTTATCTATAAAGATAAGAATCACGTTAGAAAGATTTATCTTTTTAATAATACAAGCTCTAGTTATACATCTAACACTAATATCATACAACAAAAGTCAACTGGTAATAGTAAACATTATGACTCTGAGCTGGCAGACGCTTCATTTGCAACCGATGTTTTTCCACCTTCATCACTGAATGCACTTTCTTCACTAGAATCAGAAGAAGAAGATGAATCAGCATCATCATCACTAACAACTTCAGCTTTTCTTCTCCTTTTGATCCGTGTTCCTTGCATAGCAAGTCGCTTGTGTCTTCTAGCTTTTCTTTTTCCTTTTGGGAATTCATCACCTACACTCTTGTTATTATCTACATCCTTTGTGTTCCTATCTGTGCTATAGTCATCATCTTCTTCTGCTGCTGTTGCTGCTTCTTCTTCAGATTCAACATTTTGTGCATCAGCTTCAGACTTTCGTCTTTTCCTACCTGCATTCGTCTGCAACACAAATACAGATACCAAAATGTTTCATTTGAAATATATAACAATCACCAGTTCAGGGTTTAGGGTTTTACCTTGGGACCACGGTCAACCAATCTTGACCATTCACTTCGGTTCCTTAAACAATCAAGAACAGCTTGGGAGTGACTTGAATACGCATATCTCTCTCCATTATGCTTACGTAAATTAGGCCAATGCTGAAAATTAATATCATGATGCAAATTAATCAACAATTAAAGCATATAGGCTTAAAGGTGGCTTTTATACAAAATATTGAGTTTAAGGATCTATTTTTTTAAATTAAAACAAAATTATACCGGTAGAACTGCATTGCAGAGTTCTTCGTATGTCATTCGCTTTCCTTTGCTCATAATCTCAGCAATCAAGCCTGTAGAGCAACATACATGTCACACAAAATATATATTAATCTCAAGATTTTAGGGTCGATTACATTTTTGGTCCCCAAGTATAGCTGGATTTTTCAATTTTGGTCCCAAAAAGTTCTCTTGCAAACTTGGTCACTCTTTGAGGTTTCTATAACGTTTTTGGTCCATGTTTTAAGTAAAATGACTATTTTTATGACCAAAATTGTAAAAAAATCATCTATACTCAGGGACCAAAATTGTAACTTACTCAAGATTTTTTTATGTAAATTGTAAACAGACCTGGTAAAGTGCGATGGGTAGGAAGTTCATCATCAGAAGCATTTTGAGGTGATGACATGTTATGTTCATTAGCTTCATTAGAAGAAGATGGCCCACTGCTTACAGTTGTTGAGACAGGTGGCACACTCTTATTCGTTGATCCATTATTTTTCACAATCTCATGTCTCCTTGAACCCTTTTTTGCCCCCTCAACATTATTTGTTACATCCTTGTTTCTTTTTCTTGGCCCATTATTCATATCCTTTCCTCCAGAACTTGATGTCCGTTTCATTAATGTGCTTGTGGGTGTGGTTGAAGCTAGCTGAGGTAAGCTGCCAGCATGGCGCATACGTGGCACCCGAGGAACTCTTGGAGAGCTGTTCAGCTCTTGATGAAGAAGCAAAGCAAGCTCTTCATCACTTAAGTTTGTAGATGGAGGAGGGTGAACAACATGTTTAATTGCAGCCTGTTGTCTGTTGTTGTTTATCTGATTAATCTTTTCACCTTTTTGTGATGATTCTGAAGTGCTTTTGTTGTTCTGTTCATTTGCACCACCACCACCACTTTCACATCTCAATGAATTTGCAGAGTCACCGGAATCTGGGGTGGGGGTGGTGGTGGCGGCTTTAGATGATGATAAGACTGCAGGATCTTTGGAATCAGACGAGTTCTTTTTGGGTACATGTGAAGATTTGCTCAAATGTGATGATTTTAGTGCAGAAGTAGAGGACGATTTCAGAAGTTCTTTTACAATTTTTTTTGGCTTCTCAGAAACATCTGCATTATCTTTTTTGATCTTACTATTGTTTTCTTTCTGTTTGCCCTCTGAGTTGGAATATCTTGGCTTTTCTGGAATAGATGGTTTTGACGAGGGCTTACCTGTAATTTTGCGTTGATTTGTAACAGATCCATGTGATTTGGGTGGGCCTTCTGATTGAGTATGAGTATCAACATGATTTTGCACCTTATGGGTCATGGATACAGATGCAGATTCCTTCTTCACTTCAGAAATTGGAGATAACCGATCATCAGAAGTTTTTGGATCTTGGGGCAAGGTCTTGGAGCTATCTAACTTTAAATCACTAGTGGGGGCATTTTGGTGATTAGAAGTCTTTTCAGGATGAGTGGTTTCTACTGGTTTTACTTCAATTGGTGGTGATGGAATATGGAGATCGACATTTGGGGTCAAGTCTGGTTTTTCTAGATTGGTTATGTTAGGCTGAGTTCCATTACTTGTGCTACAAGTTCTTTCATTGTTATTTGCATCATCCACAACATCATGCTTAACCTAAATAAGAAAAATAAAAGTGTTACAGATAAATGCAATTCAAAAAAGTATTTAGAACCTAACTTCCATCAAGATCAATAAAATAAAGTTAAACAGACTCCATACTTCAAATAACCTCTTTCTTATATATATATATATATATATATATATATATATATATATATATATATATATATATATATATACATTTTCACAGGAATAAGATTCACTCGTCTTTTTATTTTTAAAAATAAACAAGTTTAACCTAAGTAAAAGAAAAATGAACATGAAAATTATTTCCCAACTATAGACACATTTTGGCATAGCACAAAGTTGTAACTAAATCCTATTTAACACAGGAAAGAGTTTGGTGAGGAAGGGTAAAATAGTTTCAATATGTAGATATATGTCAACCACCACCCATAACCTTACAAACAAAGAAAAGCAAGATTCTTTAGGTTTTCAGGAGAATGTCATATGAAGTTCTTAGCAGCTTATAAGTTAAGTGATTTGCAGGTAGATGTAATCATATTCCAGGGTTCATTGTCACATACCTCATCTTTAATGCTACTAGTTTCCACAGGATTCTGTTTTAGTGATGATGCAATGCCATCAGAAATCTCCACATTTATAGGAACTTGATTTCCATCATTTTCTTGCATTTGTTTTGCTTCTTTTGAAGGATTTAGTATTGAATCATCAATGGGTACACTCTCTGAAGGTTGTCCACTAGATAAAGGGATGTTATCTTCTGATTTATGATTGTCCTGCACATCTGTTCTTGAACTTTCAGGTTTACAACTTTGTTTATCAGTCTTGGAAGCCTTATGATCTTTGCCTTCATATGATTCTGATTGTTTTGCATCAGTTGACATGGTGGACACTAGTATCATAGTAAAGTAAACATGTATTATTAATCTTGCTTCCATAGTATATTATTGATTAGTATTCACAAATTCATGCAGATAACATACTATCACTATACACCAAACACCAAATCTAAAAAACAAGGGAAATTAGAGAAGAATACCTGATTCAAAAGATCTCTTCTTAGAATCTCCATATTTATCCATCGCTTTGACATTTTTCTTCCTGTTTTGGTCCTTGATTACCTTAGAATCATCTTTCTTTTGGTGGCTTGAATGAATCACAATAGGCTTCAATAAGCTCCTTTCCTTTCTCACATCTTGCTTCTTAGTATCAGTAGTTGGTGGGCCCATATCCAAAACACCTCCTTCATTAGCATGACTTTTATTGCCACCAGAAGTTGACAATGAAAACAAGGCATCAGCCCCTTTACAGGCAGGATTTTCAAGTTCTTCATTGTCTTTGTCATCATCATCATCATCATCATCATCCTGTCTTTCATCCCAACAAGGGAACTCCCTGTATTGAGAATTAAACTTTTTTGGAACATATCCTGTGCACTTCCAAAGCTGTTGACTGAAAAGTGGAGACACCCCACTAAACAATGCAGGATCACCACCAGGAATACCCTGCACGTGTACCTTTTCTTCTAAAGGAATCTCAGTCCAAACCTGAAATGAACTTTGAGGAGGGCAACTCATGGGATATGGATTATCCATTCTCAATGTTTTTGTAGGCAACTCAACCAACAATTGTGCAACCTCCGTTTCCTCACTCTCTTTCCTAAGCTTCTTGCTTTTGCACTTATCACAAGAAAAGAGTTTCTCACTTTTGACATATCTCGAACACCTGGTATGCACCCAAACACCACATTCATCACAATCGACCATTTCTTCTCCATCATCAAAATTAACCCCACACACACAATCCACCGTCCAAGACTCGTCCACCCAGTCATCCGGTGTGTCCGAAATCGTCGGCAGACGATGAGATCGGCTTTTCATCCCAAACCCTAGTTCTAAAAACCCGAAACTCCAAAAATGAACCAAAAAACCAATAGCACCCCCGCTAACCCATCGCCCGTTTCATCTATCACGGTCTATTTAATTTTTTCACACTTGCCGAAAGCAAGTGGTTCGCTTTCTTAAAAATCGATCAAAGGGGGTTTCGAAAAAAGACGAATTTAAGAGAAAAGAAAAAAAAAGAAATACCCGAATTGGAGAATTTACACCGTGAGAAAACCGGTTGAAGGGGTAAAACAGTCTTGTATGGCCGATGGGGCCTTTTGCGATGCCTGGAATTCTTGAAGTAGCAAGCAAAGACGACGATTTTTATCTGGTGACGTCTATGTGGACGTGAAAGTAGTCGGAATGAAGAAGAAAGATAAGCAATTTGGAATACGCGGGTTATGAAATTGAGTGGCGTGGCGTCCGTCAACTCAAAATTGATTTTGGGAATTTGTTTATCGGACGATGTTTGTCCAAACACCAAACTCCAAATTCTAGATGGGCCTGCCCATCAAAGATGTGTAATTTGGCCCAGTAAAATTCTTGTTTTCAAGTATTAACTTTATGTTGTGAAAAGTTTAACAATGGTTTGGTAAGTTTCATAATTGTTCTCTTAAGAGTTAGACTCTGAATCTGTTAGATTCAGAATGTTTTGGTTCGATATTTTGCTTCATGGATTTGTGAATTTGTACAGGTAAGCATTGCTTTCAAATTATTAAGTAAAGTTTTAAGGATTTAAACCTTGGTCATTACGTGAACACTTGTGTGTCACGAGGTGACCATGCCAGAGAAAACGCGCATCCCATTTAGTTGTCATGATGTGACCACATATGGGTCACGACGTGACAACCCTTGCGTGCCAAAACCTTAATTTCGGGGATTGTCTCCCTATTTAAGAGAAGTGAGGGCTAGAGTTTGTTCTCCCTCAGCCTCCATCACCTCCCTTCACCCTCCAAAAACCTTCCATTATTTGTCTTTGAGCTCCATTTTTTTGGTGATTTGAATCCTTGAAGAAGAGGAGAAGGCATTTAATGCATCATTTCAGCTTGCTAGCCACTCCATCGTCATCTTGAGTTGCATTAGGACTCTTGTAACTCCTCAAGTTCCTACCTTTTTAGCTCAATCTTATTAGATCTAGTGTTTGGCTCACTTTTCTCATAAATTATGGAAGTTTGAGTGTTGAGATCTCATAAAGATAACAAGTTTATGAGTTCTTAAGACTCCTTTGATACCCTTTGTCCCAGGTCTGGAATATTAGTGAGCTATGGGTTTGATGCATGAGATTTGATCTTATTTTCCTTTCATTTTGACTTAGTTTGTGTTTGGGATATGCATTGGACATGCATGTCTAAAAAGTTATGATTTTTATGGTATTCTGAGATGGAGAAAGCCTTTTGGAAGGTTTGGTTGCATGGCTTAAAAGATTAAGAGCTTAAGGAATTAATATGTCCAGAACGTTCCTCACGACGTGGCGCTTTGGTTGTCACGACGTGACTAGAGTCTGATCCGCGATTATTTTGTCTTTATTATGCCACGACGTGACCAATGGGTGGCCACAACGTGGCAACCAGTTGAATGACCTTTGAGTGTTGACTTTGACTTAAGTGTTGACTATTTGACCAAGTTTAACTTTAGGTCAAACTTAGGGATTTTGGTTGTAGTTTGAGATTTGTCCCTATTTGCTGTATAGGTGACGTGACCTGTAGAGCTGGTTATTGGATCTGTGATCAGTATTGTTATCTTCTAAACTGCAAGGTGAGGTTTCTCACTATACTTTGTACTACAGTATATGTCCTTGTGTATAGGATGTTGGTATATTGTAGTGATCTGTTAGATTTGGTAGATCTGTATAATTACATGTACTTGATGGTTGTTGACTATTGTTTGCATATGTTGACATGTGCGGTTGGGTTGAGGCAATACTGCTTTGTGTTGTAATCCATCTAACCCGAGAGCAATCCAATCATAAGTTGAGGGCCGGGAGGGCATTCTAGTCTTATGATGTGGGCTCGGGAGCAATCTAGTCATAAGCTGAGGGCCGAAAGGGCATTCCAGTCTTATGGTATGGGCTCGGAGGTGGTCCAGTCTTGTACTGTAGGCCCGATGTGCATGCATTGTATATGTGTTGTTGTGTGGAGTATTTTGGGGGAACTCACTAAGCTTTGGCTTACGGTTGTTAATTTCAATGTTTTCAAGTACATCAGATGATCAGGGCAAGGCGAATGCATGATCATACACATCTTCATGTTGATTTATGCTTTGAGAGATCATTTGTTACTCTGATTCTATGGATTTGATTTGAAAATAATGGTTGATCATCTTATGGTTTTGTGAAAATATTTTATAAAAATGAAAAATTTTATCATGATTTTTGGGTTGTTACAAATTGGTATCAGAGCCATGGTTTGAGAGAATTGGATAAACATTTATGTGATTCCAGGCGAAAGCATGATCGTACAATCAATAGGAGCCAAGGAAAAGTTATTCCCCAAGATACCCACATTTGTTTATGTGTATTGATGATATGTTAGAATTGTGTTCTAATTTATAGGCTAGGGATCTTCAGGAATTGCATGATACAACTGTTTGATTTATGATGCCTGATAGCCCAGGGGGATTTCTAATATGCTATATGGAACTAACATTATTATTATGGTTGCTTGGTGTGTGCATCATATTTTTGCATAACTAACATTTTATAGCCTACAAATCTTTGATTTAGCCTTATTTCCCATTCCTTGTTTAGTTGTGGGCTGAGGAGAATCAATTATTCGACTATCTATTGAATCCAGTGTTATGTATGATTAGCATACACAAGGCAGCTGTAGGGTTAGTGGAAGTTTCATGAGTGGGTGTGGTTGTGAGAAGTCGGTGTAACGTATGGTTAACTACGAGAGAGAGAGAGAGAGAGAGAGAGAGAGAGAGAGTATATGATGTATGTGTATCCTAGCTGATTGGACTTTATGGTAGAGAAATTCACGTCGATCCTTTGAGACAAATACGGGTAGGTGTGGAAGTTAGTATGGGTCCGTACTACTGAAAGCACAGGACCCGTATGCGTATCGAGGAAGTTACAAATTTTTAGGATTTAGTGTTTGAGTAGTGATGTGTTGGATTATTCTGTGATTTTTTGATGTGTTCCAGTTTACAGTATGGCGATCACAAGAGGTTCAGGATCAAGAGCTGACGACCCGAAGAGGATAGGATTAACTAACGATGATATTCGCGAGAAGATCACCACCTAAGTGACCATGGTAGTTAGGGAGGCGATCCCGAAGATGTTTGGGTCTGTCAAGACCACCATGATTGAGCTATTTGACGAGCGTTATGTCGCCGTTTCTGAGGCTGCAATTACCGCATCCACTGCAGCCATTGCTACTGCTGGATTTCAGGGGATATAGGTGATGCAAAATCGGGACTTTAGTAGCACGAAGCCCCCAGAGTTTGATGGGGTCAAGGACCCGATAGTTTCGTGGGATAAATATCTGATGTGGAGGGTTGTTTCTTCACACGTTCATGCCCGAAGGGCCATAAGGTCAAGTTTGCCTTGAACCTTCTATGATTGGGGGAGAAGGATTGGTGGAAGCTGGTGAACAGTGCTTATTCTCCTGCGGAAAAGGCAGCAGTGACTTGGGATCGGTTCACGAAGATGTTCCATTGGTTGAGAGGGAGAAGTTAGCCCAAGAGTACTTATCGCTGAAGCAGACGACAGAGTCGGTGACGGAGATCACCAAGATATTTACTGAGAGAGTCTTTTTTTGCCCCGAGTATGCAACTTCGGAGCAAGTTCAGATGTCCTGCTACTTGAGCATGCTAAAGACGGAGATCCGTGAGGTTGTGTCGACACAACAATATTGTTCCTTATCCAATATGCAGTCTTTCGCTCCGAGGAGAGATATTGAGATTGAGACGCAGGCGAGAGAGAAGAGGCAAACCCCAATTCAGACTCAGCCAACAGTGAAGCGGTTAAAGCCCGCCGATTCATGATCTGGAGGCCAGAGGGGTCGCACTTGTGGCAAGTGCGGGAAGATGCATTGATGTGTTTTTTATGCACTAGTTTTTTTATTTATAAAGTCATATCTAATCTCAACTAGTCTTAAACACAAAATAGACAGTGTATTTGGTCATGAAGTAATATAGTTTAAGGTAACAAGGAGTGTCAACACAGGGAACGAGAATGGTTAGATCAAATACTTCAAATTTTAATTAAATTAATAACAGAAAAGTAAAGATAGGGTTTTTGTGTAAATAAATTAAACTAGTTTTAATGCTCTATTAATCAAACGAAGTAAATAACTAAATTAAAACAAAAGATAATAAGTACTTCCACTAGAATACGAATCCCCCAAGTTTCTATGTTTGATTTATTAGAAGTACAATGGATTAATGAGTTGATTACCAAATTATAATATTACTAGTTATCATGTTCTGACTCCTAGTGTTTAATAATTCATGAACTACTATACAATGGTCAAACACAAGTTGAACACTAAATTGATTTTAAAGATTATTTGGACTATGAATGATAAGATCTTATGATTACATATCTATGACCAAGACAAGAAATACAAGCACATAATATGGATAATTAATGCTCTCTAACACAGTCAAAGTTACTAATTAATATCACCTAACCCTAGGATTTTTTCAATCACAATATCTAACTATTAAATTATCATAAATAGCTAAATATCAAGTTTATGCAACTGGAATGGTCATCTAACTACACATAACTTGCAGATAAGAGATAAAAATTAGAAATTTAACATATTAGGTTGATGATCTATCAAACACAAGTAAAAACCAAACTCAATTAATTCATAAATAACAAAATCAAAGCATATCAACAAGGGTTCATCAATATCTAGTGAAAGTAAGGTTTTTACACCATATTCAGTAAATGAAAGCAGAAAAACATCACCAAAAGATTGCAAGACACGATCATCAAGCAAAACCAAAGTGAAATCTTGATGTATTAGTGCTTGAATCTTCAAATCCTTGCTCCAATTGAATTTCTAGCTTCAAAATCGACCCTTAGAGGGTCTATCGACTTCAAAACGAAGTAGGAGTCGCACATATAGGCTTCCAAATCCCTCACCCCGATTAGGGTTGGAAATCTAGTGTTTTTATATATTTTTCGGCTCCACGACGTGGCCAACAACTTACCACGCCATGGGAGATGGAATCTTCGAGTCCATGTAAAATTTGGATTTTCCATGTCGTGGAGATGGCTTTACTACGGCGTAGGAACTGAGAATCAGAATTTGTCATAAACACCAAACTTGTCCAAAAAAATTTCTAGTTTTCAGAACATTTTGAATCTCGTCAATCGGAGTTATGAGTCATGAGATATGATAAAAACACTAACGAGGGTTCG